CTGTCTATCTATCTATCTGCCTGCCTATCTATCTATCTACCTACCTACCTATCTATGTATCAATCTATCTAACTACCTATCTATCTAACTACCTACCTACGCATCTATCTAACTATCTACCTGCCTATCTATCTATCTAGCTATTTATCTACGTGTCTACCTACCTATCTATCGATCTATTTAAATATTATTAAGAATATAAGTCCATTGATAATTTTACTGAGAGATGTCATGGTCTCATTTTAATAATTCCCTCGAATTAGAACTTGATCAGTTCATAAATTTTTTGTTGATCCTCATGAGATGCCTAATTCGACTTATAATATAAATGCACCTTCAGAAGTTTTTTATCATTTTGAAAATAAGTAATAAAATAGTCTATAAATCTGTTGACTTATATTGCTTCTTATAAAAGTAATAAACAACGATGGCTTTACTGTAAATTTATACAAAAAAAATATAGTTTTTTCTTCATTTATCATTGATTATAAATCTAATAAATGATAATGTAAAAAAAAAATAAATATTTCGTATAAACTTACAGTAGTCTTCATTTATATATTTTTTTTTCTTCATTTATTATTGATTACAAAAGTAATAAATGATAAACACTTTACTGTAAATTTATACAAAGTATTTATATTTTTTTCCTTTATTACTGATTATAAATCTAATAAATGACGAAGACTTTGCTGTTAGTTTATGCAAAGTATTTATATATATATTTTTCTTCGTTTATCATTGATTATGAAAGTCATAAATGAACACTTTACTATAAATTTATACAAAATACTAATAGTTTTTTTTACTTATCATTTATTAGATTTATAATCAATGTTGAATGGAGAAAAAAATATAAATATTTTGTATAAATTTACAGTAAAGTCTTCATCATTTATCACTTTTGTAATCAATAATAAATGAAGAAATATATGTATATAAATGAAAACTTTACTGTAATTTTATACAAAGTATTTATATTTTTTTTCATTTATTATTTACCAGACTTATAATCAATGATAAATGGAGAAAAAAAAAATTTTTTTCCATAAATTTGTAGTAAAGTCTTCTTCACTTATCACTTTTATAATGAATGATAAATGAAGAAAAAAAAATATAAACCTTTTGTATAAACCTACAGTAAAGTGTTCATCATTCATTACCTTTGTAATAAATGATAATGCAAAAAAAAATATAAATCTTTTTGTATAAACTTACAGTTAAGTCTTCATTTATCACTTTTATAATAAATGATAAATGGAGAAAAAAAATTATTCTTGGTGAGGTTGAGTGCTGTTGATGTTTTTTCAGTCCATTTATATTATAAGTCGAATTAGGCAGGTACTCTTGATACTACGATGATTGTAGTAAATCAATACATCATCAGTCATCATCCATCTTTGATATACATCATTTACTCATTAAATCCGAGCAAAAACTAGACGCTCCACTATATACAACATTCAAAAATGTAGCCCAGCCATTTAAATTTCAAGGAAAGCTTTGAAATATTCCAGAATAGTCTAAGCCGTGTTTGTTAACGCCGTTCAACACCTTTTCCGTCGCTAAGGGTTTGTGTAAAAAGAGTCTGATACTTGTTATATGTTCGTTTTTATGGCAGCATTTGTCCCCAGTGATCTTTAACCTTTGACCGCGGATGCTAAGATCTGTAATGGGATAAGGAAGAGAAGTCGAAAAACCTCGCATTTAAACTTATACTCACTATTTTTCTTCGAAAAATATATGTGAGTTGCACAACATGTGCTGTTCATTAAATTGTACGGTTATGGTACCGATACGACCAGATACGACCATGCACGGTGACATACGACCGTATACGGCAGTCGTATACGGAGCCCAGATGCTTACCTTTTAATTCCTCCGTATTTTTGTACGATTTCCGTATACGGAGACCGTTTCTCATCGTACCGCTCCGTATACGCGCATCGCATACGGAAGCTGTGCACGACCTCCGTATATCTCCGTTTTTTTTCGTAAACGACCGTTTACGAGCGTGCATGTTCGACCTGGGTGAATGAATGATTAAAGATACTCAAATTCAAGAAAACCGAGCGAATCGGACGATAAACTAAAATATGAATTGAAATAAGTAAACTGAGAATGTTTTGCCGTTCGATATTTTTCACCAAACTGTTATTTAGTCTTGTTAACCGTCAATCTAAAATCTTTGCATCTATTTTGACTGGCGATATCATATTCTGATTTTACAATTGTTTTGAGATGATATAATGAACGTCATTGTACACATGTCTGTTGAAGTTTTACATACAGTACTACTCGAAATTATAAGAATAAGGTAATTTTGATCTTTTTCTATGATATCAAGTACCTAACTAAAATCTGAACTATGATCTGGATGGCCAATCTGTTTTCTAACAGATGTGCCATACATCAAGATTTCATAATTGAATTATGTGGGAGCTCGTTTTCAACAGTCTTCTCTGAAAGAGTACAAAATTCTAAACAACATGAGGATTAGTTGTATTTTTTATGATATTCCGTTACAAACTGACCAGCATCACAAAAAACAGATAGAATGTATTGTTAAGCGATTTTAAGATAAAATTTGCTTTTTCTTTTCACTTTTTGTATTACTTGTAATTCTGTAAGAGAAGGTTGTAAAATGTACGATGGTCTCTAATTTTCTTCATAATATTCTGTTCTTTAAAAAGAGGCTATTGGAAACTGACTTCCATAATGTCTTATAGGACCTGAAAACTGACAAGTTCAGTTTTTTAGAAAAATTTCTGGCATAGTCCAACTATGGAAGTTTGACCTATGATACATCTGATAGTGAACTTTGTCAGTTATCGAAAATCTCTATTTGAATTTTAGTTGGTACTCGACGTCATTGAAAAAAATTAAAATTACCTCGTTCTTATAATTTTGAGCAATACTATATATTCAGATCTGTTTAATTATAATGAAACGAAGGATAAGTCTATCGAACTGACTTTTCGTTTTTTTTTGTCCTATCTAGCAAAACCAAATAGATAATTCAATGCCGTTACACTTTTCTAACTTGATCTTTTACGATATCATTATTTCTGTTGTTTCTTTCAGATGGTCTCTGTATGCTCTTGACAATTAAATATAAAAAATTTTTCTTAATTTTGATATTGCTGGATTATCAAAATAAATTTATTATGTTTAAAATGAAAACAATACAGAACGTTGTTCTTTATCTATGACTAAAAATATTCGCTTGTTTACATAATTTGTTGAGAAAAAAAGAACAAACTAAGAAATAAAAACAATATGTTGAGGACTTTCAATATTAACCAATTGTGAAATAAATTCAAATGTATCTTTACTTCTATTATATGAAAAACATGTCAAATTATTCGAATTTTGATTGGTAACAAGTAGAAAATGACCAGTTGGATCGAATGTAAAATATCGTGGACCTGAACCATGAACGTCAAGATGTTCTTTAATACTTAAAACTTGATTATTATTATCATTTATATTATAAATAACAATATTTTCATCTCCTCGATTTGAAACAAGTAAATGTTTTTTATCTGGTGTTAATTGTAATTCAGCTGGAGTATTTTCTTTATTTGAATTTAAAATAAAAATATATCAAAATATTGAAATGTTTCAACTGTCCTTTTTTTTAGACTAACCTTTTTCATCTTCTCTATGTCGTGTTGTTATTGTTTGTTGATGTTCTAATTTACCAATGATTGGATCTATTCGATAAACATTTGTTGTTGAATCTAATTCATTAGATACAAAAGCTAATGATTTATCTGGATGAAAACATATATGCCGTGGTCCAGCACCTGGTTGTGTTTTAATTCGATCACAATGTAAATGTGCTTGACCATTTGTGTCATCATAACGATATACATTTATTGTATCTGTACCTAAATCAATAATATATAAATAATTTTGATAAAATTTTACGTGATGACAATGTGAATGAGATTGACGATCATGATTTGGACCACGACCATCTATTGATATTATCTGAGCATTATTTTCTTCTGGAATATGAGATTTATTTAATGGTAATAAAACAAAATTAGATGAACCACTTCCACCATAACTAAAGTGAAAGAGATCAATAAAGTTTGCTTTCTTTTTTGTTTTTTGCTTTCGATATTAGACTTACTTAGCTACAGCAAGTAATTTACCGGTTGAATCAATATCAAGTGAACACGGTGTACTTCCTTGTGATGAAATAACCTTTTTTGATGTTAATTTCCCTTGAATATGATCATCAATTGTAAATATTTCTACTTTATCATCCTGTTCATTGACTGCATAGAGTAAATCATCACGTGCAAGAAGCCATGATGGCCCTTTTCCACTTTTATTTTCATTAAGTAGTAGTAATTGTCCATCATGTGTCAAACGACAAGCATATATAGTTTCACTACCGGAACCAACAAGGAATGTTTGATTCGACATAATACTATCTAAAAGATAGATTGATTAACTATATAAATATTCTTTTCGAATTGAACAGGTTGTTAACTTTCAAATTTTTTCTATATCACGATATATTGTATCGATATTATATTAAATTCATTTTTGTAAGTAACACTTTGATTCAAATATTTTCTTGATATTGTTGACGTTGTAAGACGTTGTGATTGTAGATCGAGTTTTACAGAATTCGTTTGTTTGGTTACTCAATTTATGTTGAGCACATTCGAGGCGATTCAATCTTCTTAGAAAATAACTGTAATAGATTCATTTTCATATGTATTAACCTTCCGATATATGCACTCGTTGATCTTTTCAATATGTGCTGACAGTTCTTTTTCTCTTTCTTAGATGTATCGCGCAATAGAAACGAGATAAGAAAATAAAATTTCAATTTATTGAAAGCTACATTTTAATCCATTAACATTTCTAGTACAATCATTACTATTGATGAAACAATAGTATCATGACGACATGGGCTCCTCTTCAAACAATACATTCCTGGCTAATCGTGCAAATATTGCGTCAAGATATAAAAAGTAGCCAGTATAAATGGGTAGTCTTACGCAAAATGATACGTATCTTATTGAGACACTGAGAAGTAATTGTACCGGATCGGAAAATGATATTGTTTAGAAAAAGCTCAAGCGTGATAAAATTTGTAGACTCTAGAACAAAGACAACATAAAGCTGATCAAGTGAAAAGATAAAAGAGACATTTTGATGGTATCCACATAGTCATCGCATTCAAAAACTGTGGTAGACACCAGAAAAACCAATAAATTAAATAATTGCATCATGAAGCCACAAGTTATAATCGATTGCAAGGACGGAAAACTATACTACAAGCGAAGTGATCATTCTGCAGTTTCGTGAAACTCTTATGCAATTTTTACTTTTTGTTATACTATTCGACAAGCTGAAACCTGGTTCGAAACAACACTCAGCAAGTCATTCGAAGTGTAGACTCTTTGATCACGCACTCGAAGAAAAGAAAGGATCTGCGCTCATCATCCGAAGTAGCTACGCTAACTGCTATGAGAGAAGCGATTCATTTAACAGCAAAGACAATGAAAATCTTTCGTTCTAATTGCGACAAATTTGTTTCTCTTGATTGTTTTAACGAGAAACATCACGCTATGCAATAAATGATTCAGACAATATCGAAGGCAGATCAGATGACACATTATGTATAACCTTCCCCCCTGAGAAAAAAGGAAAAGAAAGCAAGTGTTTTTCTGTTAAGTTTCTTGCTAAAATATAGTGGGATCCACTCATGAATCCCATCGCCTCGAATGTGATATGTATGATGAAACCCCGTTTATTGATAATTGATTTCTATGATAGTATAAAGCGAAATATAAGTAGATGGAGTTTGAGACAACATGCCCTGATATATGCGATTATCCTGTAGAAATTGGTGAAGCAAGCATTTCTTAACATAAGATACTCTGTTAAGTAAATAGCCATTCATGATTTTTTTATAGAAATTATCAAGAATGTTTTATATCTGTAAAATTATTCTTATAATAAAGCAGTACCAACTGTTGAAGATCGTTCGACTTAATATCATATCTACGGATATTGCTCAGTGAAATTCAAAGAAAATTGAAAAGGATTTGAATCCATCACCTATTAACGATAAGTTCTGGATATTTTACTGAATTGTTGATTGATAGTAGGGTATTTCTGAAAAAGCTTTGACCATCCAAGTTTGCTTATAGATAGGTCTAATAGTCATTAAAAAATCCTGAAAGTTTCAAAGAAAACGAACATGACTTTCTCGAGATATTCACTTGCTAAAAAACACAACCATTTACCATAGAAGAAGTACAACAATTAAGTTCACGTGCAGATTCAATACCTCAAGAAAGATTAGATCGTTTTTTTTAAATTTTCAGGTCAAAACTTCCTTATTTTGATTTTTTTCGGAAATTCTTTGATTGGAATAAACGATTCAGTAAAACATTCATAACGTTTTACCAATAGGTCATAAAATCGAATCTTTTCCAGTTTTTCTTCATCTCACAGAGATGTATCCATATTTCAAAGTGAGAAAAGACCTAATCAATCGTATATTACTACCTAATCTTACATTTTCACTTAAGCTGAAATCATTTTTTGTTCTCATCAATCATAAAATGAAATTCAAAACACCAACTATTAGATACTGATTTCGACTGAATAGGACAATTACGAATTATAAATTCAACATATGTAATTCGTTAGATGATATTCGTTTTTTTTTGGGGGGTTGATTGATTCATGGAAACATCTGAATATCCGAAAAAGAAATTTGATACCTAATGATGATATTTTTTAAATAGATTTATTACTTAATTAAACTCAATTTTTTTAAAAACGAAAATATCGTTATCTCCATCGGTTACTTTTATTTAATTCAAAAAGAAAAACGAGATTTTCTTCCCATCGATTATTTCTCAATCCATAAATACTCTTTTCAATATATACAAACACATATTTATCTATGTTGTTGTGTGTTTTTTTATTATTATTTAATCTACAAGCATATTTTCATTTGTTGAAATAGGTGATGTTGAAGTTGTTCCTTGATTCGATGGTAATGTATAAAGACCATTTGTATATAATAATTGATTTGATTTAACTTTAGCATCAAGTATATTTCTTACATCAATTAATGTTCGTTCATGTTGTCCATGAAATGCATAGACACATAATAAAGAATAAATTCTTTCTAATGTTAATGATGTCATTGAACGAAGCATACCAAAGACAAAATTACATACAATCTAAAATAATATATTTAAAAAATAAAACAGAAGAAAACAAAAAATAAAATAAACTAACTGTATGTTCATGTTCTTTTTTATCTGGTTCAGCTTGATGTTCAACATTCATATCATCAACATCAACACTTAATAAAGCAGGTGCTTGTGATGAACTATTTGATGCTACTTTTGATGTATCTTCAACTAAACGAAATGTATCTTTTGCTTCTTCTTTTAATAAACCACAATTTTGCCAAAGATTTATTCGTTTACGTATACAAGCTGTTGAACATTTTAATGATGAACTTAAATCACTAATTGTCCAAGTATCTAAAAGAATATTTTAGAATATTCTTCATTTTTCTTTTGATTTACCTTTTTCTTGAAATTTATAAATAATTGCTGCATGAAATGGTGTTACGCTAAACTCTAATGTTTTACCACCAATTTCAATTTCAAGATTAACTTGTCCTAAAAAAAAAGAAAAAAAAGAGGAAAATCTTTTAAGATAAAATAAAAAAACTATTATCAAAATCCGTGCAGGATTAAAATGTGAAACACGATATGCTGCTCTTGTTAATTACAGGGAGGTTACTTTATTCTATCTATTTTGGAATACATTTTTTCATCATTATTTTACTTAATCCTTCGGAAATCCTATAAAGTAGTAAGATGTCTGTTGCGAGGTTCAAATTTTTGCTCCTATACTTTAACATTTTTTTTAAAATTATATTTCATAAAAAAAAATATTTTGCATCTTACCATAATTAGGACTCCAATGTAATGTTCGATGTGGTTTTAATGTTTCATATGCTGTTGTATAAGCTGTTTGAATAGCTTTTAATTCATCTGGTAAATCAATAGGTGAAAATTTAACTTCTGGCCAATATTGACTTGATATAATTAATGTATTTATAGGTACACCAGCTGTACTAACAAGTGGAAAATGAACTTGTGCTAATTGTTTTTTAACTAAATCATTCATTAAACGTGAATCAACATAATCTTTAAGCATAACATCACAACCTTGTAGACCACCATCACCAAAACGTTGTTTTAATAAATCAACATAACGACCTTCATGTTCAATATCAACTTTATTTGATTGACCAGATAACATACGATCAGCTAACATATGAACATATTCTTCAACAAATAATTCTGCATGACCATAAATAGATACAAGCATTGACATTAAATCACGAGAATGAGATGGACGAAGAGCACGTTCAGGAGCTAAAATAATTAATAAAAGATAAATTGAGTATTTAGCGAATTCGGATTGATGTGGGTGTTCTTTTCAGCTATATTCATTCACATCGACATCCACACCCTAAAATAAAATTTACCTGACAATGCTTCAATTGGTTCTGGTTCCCATTCATCTTCAAGAAGACATTGACTTGATCGAATATTAGTACCATTATCAGCTAAAAACAAAAAGAAAATATGAGTTTGTTATTTTTTTTATTTGAAAATTTTTTTAAAAATCATCAACAAACATTGTGTTAATTCATTTAATTCTAATACACCATGTTCATTCATATTACTAACAATAACACGAATTGTATCTTCACGTCGTCTAAAAAGAAAAAGAAAAAAAAGATCATCTTATGCAGTCAAAAACTATTTACAATTAAATACTTATAGGTTGATAAAAAAAAAAAAGAAACTAAAAACTTTCTAATAATGAAGATTTTTTTGATCGATTTCAATTATGCTCACATTAGAAAAGTTTTACTATTAAAAAAATAAAAAGAATGATTACATACGCTAAAAATTGTTTAACATTATAACAAGCTAACTCCATCATTACACCAGTTGAATCAAGATAACGTAAAACTCGTATAGCATTAATAAAAGCAGCTAAAATTTCTGTTGTTCCAACGCCAGGATGTAATAGTCGTTTATTAAATTCATTTCGTACATTATCAATAATTAAATGACGTTTACCAACAATAGATACACAACGTTTAAGATCATCTAGTACTCCTCCATGTCGTGATTCTGGATAATCAATTATTATTTGAAACATATGATAAGCACCTCTTTCACGCATAATACATTCATATATATGATGTTTTAATTCTGTTTCACATGATGATAAATCAATTTTAAATATTGATTCTTGTTTATCATCATTATTATCATGATCATTATTACAATGAGATTCAAGTATACTAAGCCATGGTAGTGCACCTGTTTCAAACCACTAGAAGAAAACAAAACAAA